GAGCTCGCAACTGAGTAAAAAAGAACACAAAAAATACTTTTGCTATCGGTATGTATTTTAACAAATTTTATTATTTCTCTTATAAAAAAAATTGTTTATTAAAAAATCATATTTTCTGTTTGCAGATGCTTACGTTACTTCAGTTCGTCTGAAAAATTGCAGTCACATACAACGGACTGAGAAAAGATGAACAATTGCGCCATCCGACTGCCGAGCGAGGACGACAAGTGGCTCGAATTCAAGAATCACCCGAATAAGGAACGATTTCCATTCATCATTTACGCGGACTTGGAGTGCGTACTACGGCGAACGAAACCAGCAGAGAAGGAAGACGCATCGTACACTTATCAGCAGCACGAGGTATTTAGCATCGGATACTACTTACGATGACGCGTTATCGATATATCGATTTCGTCGCGAAAACTGCATTGCATGATTCGTTCGGCAACTCGAAGAATTGGCGTATCAAGTAAAAATTTTGTTATCCGAATGTCTCCATGGAAACGTTGTCGAGAGAGCAGTGGGAGGCATATCGTAGCGCGACGCGTTGTCATATTTGTGAAAAACCATTTGCGTCGGACGACACGCGGGTACGCGATCATTGCCATCTTACCGGTCGTTACCATGGTCCCGCGCACTCAAATTGTAATTTAAATTATAAAGATCCATATTGCATTCCCATAGTATTTCACAACTTATCCGGTTATGACGCGCATTTTATCATCACGGAAAAAGCTACGACATTCGAAGGCAGGATTTTCTTTTGTTATCGACGTGCTGTCGATAACAAAAGAAAAATATATTTCGTTTACAAAATATGTTCAAGATATCACCGAGAGATCAGATTCACGAAATTGCATACGCTTGTGGTTCATAGATTCGTACAAATTTTTAAATACTAGCCTCGATAAATTGACATCTTTTCTAACGAAAGAAAAATTAAAAATTTTACGTTCCGAATTTTCCACGGTATCAAACGAAGATTTTGACTTATTGACGCGCAAAGGTGTCTTTCTGTACGAATACGTGGATCACGCGAACAAGTTGCAGGACATGCGCCTACCACCGCGCGAATCATTCTTTAGTTTGTTGACCGGTGATACGGTGTCGGAGAACGATTACGCGCACGCCGCGAACGTTTGGCAGCGGTTCTCCATCCGAACGCTCGGCAAATATAGCGATCTATATCTCAAGACCGATGTCTTGTTATTGGCCGACATTTTTGAAAATTTCCGCGAAAGTTGCTTCGCGAGTTATGGACTCGATTCCGCGCATTACTACACATTGCCAGGTTTCACGTGGGACGCCATGCTGAAACATACGCGTGTAAAATTTGAGTTGCTCACCGACATCGATATGGTTATGTTTATCGAGCGCGGTATACGTGGCGGTCTCAATCAATGTTCCGACAGATACGCGCAGGTCAATAACAAGTACATGCGTTCGTACGACCCGTCGATATCGTCGTCATACCTTATGTACGTTATTTACGTCATACCTTTGACGTAAATAATCTGTACGGATGGGCGATATTTCAACCGCTGCCCTATGCCAAATTCGATGGATGGAAGACATTGAGAACTTTGACGCGAGCGCGATCGCTCCGGATTCGCCTACGGGTTATATTCTCGAGGTCGATCTCAAATATCCGTATCATCTGCACGATCGACACACTGACCTACCTTTCTGTCCGACGCGCGATAAACCACCCGGCACGCGGCACGATAAACTTCTCGCGACGTTATACGATAAGAAGCGGTACGTCATCCATTATCGCAACCTGCAGCAATATACGCGCCATGGTCTTCGTATCGCAAAGATACATCGCGTATTACAATTTGCTCAATCCGCCTGGCTCCGCGATTACATCGAATTCAATACACACTTTAGAACGTGTGCGAAAAATGATTTCTAAAAAAATTTGTACAAATTGATGAACAACGCGGTATTCGGTAAAACAATGGAAAATGTGCGCAATCGTCGATGTCGACGTTAAACTTTTGACCAAATGGGATAGTATGGCGGATAGTATGGCGCGGAAGCAATGATCGCGAAATCAAATTTCCACAGCTGCAGCGTCTTTGCAGAAAACTTAATCGCCGTCGAACTGCGTAAACTCGAGGTGAAATTCGACAAACCGATTTATGTGGGTATGTGTATATTCGACATATCGAAAATCTGCTAATACGAATTTCACCACGAATACATGTCACCACTGTATCGCGAGAAATGTAAAATCATGTACACCGACACGGACTTGTATATCACATCCAGTGCGATGATGTGTACGAGACGATGAAACGCGATATCGCTAGATTCGATACGAGCGATTATTCGCCGGGCAACACATACGGGATGCCTCTCGTGAATAAAAAAGTACCCGGTCTAATAAAGGATGAGAATAACGGTGCGATAATGACAGAATTTGTCGGACTCAGAGTGAAGATGTACGCGGTGAGGGTGGACGGCAGAAAAGACATTAAAAAGGCAAAAGGTGTAAAGAATAACGTCGTAACGCGAACAATAACGTTCGATGATTACACGCGGTACTTGAATGAAGATATCGAAATGACTCGTCGCCAGTCGTGTATAACATGTTACACCAAGTATATACGGTGTCCGAGTCGAAAATTGCTCTGAGTCTGTACGACGACAAACGATACATCGTACCGGATTCGACGGAGACGTTACCATGGGGACTTGGCGGATTCCATTGTATAATATACATGTATATACAATGTACATATATTTTAGATATTTGTATATGTAGTTTATATGTATGCATATATGTATGTAAGTATCATATATCTATGTACGTATGTATGAACGTATGTATTCTTGTAGCTTTATACGATACTGTTATATATGTATGTAGTACAGATGTATGTATTTTTTGTAGTTTTTATATGTAATTTTACAATAAAATTTAGCTGTTCAAATTTTATTTTATATAATATATAAAATTTATAATAGCAATCAAGATCCTGCTTGCTGAGGAATTAGCTTTAATTCTCTCTTTGATTTATTTAATGTATACTCGGCTTAATACCTATATTGTTTATAATACATGTAGTTTTATATGTGTTTTCGTAATTTGCATACATGTATAGTTTAAAAAATGTAACGGAAGAAAAAAATAATAAAAACTCTTTGTATACATGTATACAGTGTATTAATTTTTTTAATACATTGTAAAATTAAAAAAATGAATTAAATCACACTGTTTTTGTTTATCCATGAGTTATGCGATCTATCGAATCCCAACCACTTGACGTAAACCTTGTCTCTCTTCTTGCGTAGTAGGAAGGGAGACAAGACTTTTTCCACGAGATACACGTCCGGATGAGTTGCGCGATGCAATTCGTGCTCGCAGAACGCACCCACGATCGATTTTCCGCGATAGTCCTCGAGCAGGTAAGTTACGGGATTACGCTGCACTTTAACGATCTTAAACACCTCTAATTTGGCGTGTAACCTTTTTCGTCTGTCTTGTACTTGCTCACAGGTACCGAATCGCCTACTTTGAATTTTGCTGGACCTGCGATCTTTATCGCGCTGTATACCGTATCCAAGAGTCTTTTGGTGATCGCAGGAGTTACATCAGCATGTCGATAGTACGATGCTTGCGCGCGTTGTAATCTGACACGAGTCGCGGTAGCGCGTCGACCCACTTGTAAGTGCCGTTGAGCGTAAACATCTTCCACATGTCGTTCTTAAGCGTGCGATTGAATCGCTTGATGATCGATGCCTTCAACACCGTATACGTGGAATAATGATTAACGTTGTGTTTTTTCAAGAGTTTTTGCACATCGGCATTGTAAAATTTCTTTCCCATATCCGTTTGCAAGTTTCTCGGGCATCTTCCGCTCTCTCGCATTATCTTAGCGATAGCGTTAGCCGTCTCGCTTCCAATCTTGCTCTTGAGCGGTACGCCCCAGGCGTACTTGTTCAACGCATCGATGACGGTAAGTATGTAATGATGACCTCTATTGAACCTCGAATACAGATTTCGACGATGTTTAATAGTAAATAAGATATACAATTTAAAATTGTTTTTTTCCTCACTGACGTTAATCGACTGGTTCGTTTCGTCGATACGCGATTAATTTATAATAATGCCGACTTCGCGAAGTTCCTCGATGATCGACAGAATCTCGTTGTCGTGAGCGTTGTTACCAGCTCAGTACGAAACGTCGAACAATCGGAATCGATCCACCAGTTCGTTGGGATCATCCCAATGCACGTAATCGATCTTGTTGTCGTTTAATTTCATGGTGGTTGGTATATTGCTCACGCCTGCACCCCTTTTACCGCTACTTTCATATGTAGATATGAGCGGAGCGATGATGTTAATATACTTGGATCCCCTATTGCTCTTGATAAGATTATGGGCGCTGTGACCACTATGAGCATTTGTTGTTAACAATATACTTTTATACGTTTGTTTGTCATCCTCGGTAAAAACCGCGTCATCGGGAAGTCTCTTGAAGATCAATTCGTACAATCCTGGTGTATCATTGTATCTCACATTGTCTACGATTATGGAGTCATTTTTATCAACGTCAAATTTCTTGTCACCAAGCATCGCATCACTATTTTTATCGAAATAAACACCATATACGCGATCAAATGTATCGTTTTTTCCATTATCATCGAGGAGAGGGCTTACGTATTTTTGTCCCAATAGTCCCAACTGATTATGCAACGCTTCTCGACCTTGTTGCAAAGTCCGTTTGATGATTGTTTCGAATGACGGCTCACTGACGTCTTTTCGAAAACATCTTCCTTTTGTAGGAATAGCGGTGGTTTTTTCGGTGGGTCTTTCGATGGTTGTATCGGTTCGATGGTTGTAGACTCGAACACGAGTGAATCTGACGCGGCTTTCAATTCTTTCGTTATACGTCGTTTTTTAGATTGCGGCGTTAATTTCAACCATCCAAAATCCGTCCAATATGAATCCTTGTCAGCAGTAGTAATATCGTTATCGTTGTCGTCATCGCTGTCTTCACGTTTTTGTTTTTTCTTAATACCGAGATCCTTTGCTTCTTTTTCAATCGATTGAGATTCCTCGGTTTTTTTCAACAATTTGTTTTAGAGGTTCGATGATGGGCTTGAAGCATCTCTCCAACGCTGTATTTTCAGCTATTTTACCAATTTTCAAAACGCGATATTCTTTGCGAATCGAATCGCTCGTTTTCGCAATCTGCTTCGCTATTTTCTCGCGATCTTTAGTATTATCCATGTTGTCTGCTTGACGTATCGACATCGATTAACCACGTTACGGTACCGCGAACGTATTAAATTCCTTTCTGTATCGCTCATTGATAAGCAGACTGTCCTTATCTATCACTAGAAATCCATACTCGCGCTGCCAACAATCGCGGCATAACGCACAGAATTCATCGTATGACATGTGGGTATTCACGTGATCGTTGTAAACATGTTTCAAGTTGGTACCATCCTGTTTGAACAGAATCAGCAGGTTCGCATTGTCGCGTATCAGATGTTTAGGTATCCTCGCGTACGTCTGACAGAGATAGAAGCAATCGACGTTCGAGTGGCGGCCCATCGAAAAGTATTCTCTCACAGCATCTTGCTTATCGCAACGTCGTCGAAGACGAAGATTGAATTGGGACGTGCCTCGCTCGGTGGAATGACGTCACTGTTGTTGGAGAACGTAAAGTAGATTTCTTCTTCTATGTTTGATGTTAGTAAATTTTCCAAGTATCGATATTTCGATTGTTGCAGCGATTTCGAGTACGTACACGTTCTCGAAACGTACACCATGCGGACTCTCGAGCAAGCTTATGAGAACGTTGATTTTACCACAATTTGACGGCCCGCAAATGATGGCGCGTATAGTACTCGGTAACATTTCACTGTGCTTGCGCTCTGTCGCGATGTCTCCTATCATTCGCGCTTTCTCGTTGCAGTTCGCGACGCATATCGTCAGCGGCTGCCGCACAAATTTCATGTTCGCACTGCGTTATCTAGGCTTCGATCGAACGCCTATTTATAGGCGCGCGAAATCGCGAACCGCTCAGTAGCAAAAATGTATCTCGCACTGTCGCTTACCTCCGATATTCGGGATTTGAGCGCTGAGCAGTTGCAATATATACCGAAGGTCGTACTGTTACGCGTGTGCGGCGACTATATCGATCACGTGTGGGAGCTTCCGGAATATATAAAGGCGGATTTGGAGGTTCTATTGTCGCTGCGTCGAGCATTATAATCAATCGTGGGATCGAGATCATATAGACGGTCCTACACCGAAGATAAAGAATTGTAGCGCATGTCAGCAGCAGTGTCAAACTGAAGGCTATATTGGAGATCTGCTCAATCGAGCAATAAACGCGCTTCCTTTCGAACTACATATTCCCGGCTATCAGTTTTGCGGCCCGGGTACTCGGCTGAAAAAGCGAATAGCCAGAGGTGAAACGGGCATAAATCCACTGGACGCGGCGTGCCGTGAACACGACATTGCGTATTCTCAGAGCAACGATCTCACCGACAGACACGCGGACAAGGTACTCGCCGATAAAGCCCTAGGACACGTCATCGCGAGAGATTCGGCTCTGAGCGAGAAAGCTGCAGCTGCAGTCGTTTGGACAGCGATGAAAGCCAAGACCAAGATCGGCATGGGTATGAAGGCGAAGAAAAAAGCCGGCAAAAAAAGAAACGAATACTTCCAACAGCGAAACGAGGTGATGTGTTACCGATTTTGCCAATTTTGGGCGCGCTCGGATCTTTGATCGGCGGAGCGGCCAGCGTGGCGAAAGCGATAAACGACAGGAAAGCTGCGCAACGTCAACTCGAGGAACTGCAACGTCGCGCGATGGAAACGCGCGGACAGGGACTGTATCTCGCTCCGTACAAATACGGACGGGGATTATATCTCGCTCCATACAAACGCGGACGAGGAGTAACAGCAAAAAAGGAAAAAAAACGCCAAAGAGACGATAAAAATACGGGTGTAACCACCAACATACAATTGGACCAGCTGGCGAAGCGTATGCGCGTACCATACTTTAGAGGCGTTTTTATGCGTGACGCATTACCGATTAGCAGCGCGCGTCGAAAAGAGAGCGGTATGGTATATCTGGATGACACGACGGATCCCGGCACTCATTGGGTAGCGTACGCAAAGAGAAACAATCGCGTTGTGTACTTTGACAGTTTCGACCGCCCAAGGAACTGATACGATATTTCGGAGACGATGCTACGATAGAGTACAATCGAACGTCCTATCAGACGTACGATCAGAGCGTTTGCGGACAGCTGTGCTTGTGGTTTCTTCTCCAAAACGGCTGACGCGCGTGAATTTAAAAAGTTCGATAAAATGTCGCGACGTCTCCAGTATTCGTCGAACGTTTTTTCCATCATGTCGCTGACGCTTACGCTTTCTCGCGGCAAATTACTTTCCTAGCTTGGTCTAACAATTTTGGAGACTTATCACACGATATCGAATGTAAACGCTTCGAACAATACATTTTATTTTGGCAAAGACGATGCAGAAATTACGATTCCCGAGGGGTCGTATGAACTGCATGCCATAAATGAATTTTTGAAACGTGAGATTTTACGGAAACGTCCGCGACGTGACGCGCCCGAGGGTAACGCTGGTGACACCGCGCGCGGCGATGATGAAATTGGAGAATACCCGATAGTGCTCCGCGCAAATTACAACACGATGAGGTGTGAGATTAAATGTGTCTACAGAATAAACTTTAACAAGCCCCATAACATTGGATCGCTGTTGGGTTTTTCGAGGCGTATACTGCAACCGCGAAGGTGGCACGAATCGGACGTGTCGATCAACATAATGAACGTAAACATTATCCGTGTAGAGTGCAACGTGACCGTGGGCGCATACAGCAACGACAAAAGTGTGCACATGATACACGAATTTTCGCCGAGCGTGCCGCCAGGATATAAGATATCCAAAAGGCCGATGCAGATCATTTACCTACCAGTCATCGTACGGAGCATTACGGAGCTAATGCATTGTTGACCAGAACGGACGATTGCTCGATTTCAGAGGAGAAGAGTCACCGTCAGATTGTACGTACGACGGCGACAGCGATAACGCGAGCGTGACATTTGAGATGCTCGTGTTGAACAAAGCGAAGCATATACAGAGAGATAACGCATCTTTTACAAAGAAAACACCGATCGACAATACTCGCTCATCCGGCTGCGTCAAGAAAAGGAAGAAACTTAACGCGTCGAACATTAAATTTTTACAAGCTTTAGGATTCGCGGTGCGCAACTTGTGAAATGACTGATATCCTAAACATCGAAGACGAGCCAATCTTTGACGATCGCATCGTCAAGATTGAGACTCATGCGTACAACCCGTTCGGGTACAGCGATGAGATAAGAATACCCATACAGCAACAGGATCTGTACACATTGCCGTACGGAAGCTTTCTATATATCGAGGGAAAACTAACGAAGAACAGAGTTGTCGAAGGATCTGATGTGGTGTTGAGAAATAATTTTGTCGCGTTCCTGTTCGATGAGATTCGATACGAGCTTGATGGTGTGGAGATTGATCGTAACAGAAACGTGGACATAACCAGTACGCTCAAACATTACGTAACGATATCATCCGA